TATGTTTTGGATATTTGAGTTATCTGAGAGTCTGGGTATATTAGTTCTGTATCTGGTAATGTTTGAGAACATTCATATCAAACACTGGTAGCTGTACAGACATCTTACATTCAATAATTTTGTTTCCTTGCAAAGTTTTTCCGTGAGAAGCATCTTTTTTTTTAATATTACTTTCAGTAGTGAGTTTTGAACCGATTGTAAGTGATGCATGGTATAGTTGAAAGTACCACCTCATACTATTAAACAATATCGAATTATTTATTCTGCTTTTTACTGTTAGCAAGTTTTTTCATGAGAGCATGTCTCAGAGGTTGTAAAATTCCTTTAATGACATGTACCACTCATTCATCCCATCTCAGAATGTGGTCAATAACTACACCCAAATATTTCATGGATGCTGTTTTCTCAATATTAGGGCAATTACAGAATAACCGGTTTGCGCAACTAAGTTTATGTAGGTAGATAATTTTCGATATTGTTTGGCTGAGTACTCGAATTCAGTTAGAAAGATTTAAACAGATTTAAAGTCATGAATTTCATTTTTTTGACATTCAAACTCAGTAAATTATCATTTGACCACATCAGTACTTTCTGCAGTTCTATTTCTGCAGAAATAAAACATCATACCATGTTTTACCTTTGAATATTGAGGCTGTGACATACAGAATAGCAAACTATGAACGATCGATTTTCACTTGCTATCGTCCAACCCATGTTAGGAATCACACGTTAAAAGGTAAGACCTCGTTAATCCTTAGCTCGCACAAATTTAGACTTCTGAGGGTTGTCGTTTGTAGGGGTGCGACAGCTGGTTGAAGAAAAAAAATATATTTTTTTTAGATTAGATACTTCGCTCTCATTGGTTGGTTCCAGAAATAATGTGGGTGCCACTGTGGGTTCTTGGCTCTTTCTTTCTGCTTGATGTTGGATGGCCCCCTCCATTCTGTTTATGATGGTGTAAAAGTCTTCTCGGATGAAAGATTTCCTTTTAATTTGCGATTCTTCTAATTGGCAGTGTGATAGTCGATTGATTATTCCTTTCCTGTGAGACAAAAATTTACAGAAGTATAGCCGTGTGATGCTGACAAGTGAAAAGTTGGGCCATCAACCCGATGAATTCGTTTGATGCATCCTGCAATGAAATGTCCTCCAACATTGTAATATATACTATGTTACGGTTTGTTTTCGCTCAATACTTTACAATACTCTTCAATCGCTGTACTTTGCGCTACCTCAAAACTACCACTTTTGTTGTTGAACATATGTTATATGGGTCTATATGTATGGAATGCAACACTTGCTTCATCTCAGATCATTTGTTGGAATTGTGGTGGAAATTGAAATAAATTCAACATTCAGTTTGGCACTTATGAGTTGTGGAGCTCAAGTCGTCCGGAACGATTGCAATTCCGATATTTTTGCTATATTTTGGGACTAACTTAACTCATCAACTGGTCGTAAAGAATTTTGAATTTAATGTTCAACAGAAACACTCTGTTCGGTGATATTTCTATTCTTCGACCTGACAGATATGTCAGGTCGAAGAGCCTAAGCTCAGTTTATTGCTACTCCATTTACACAAATTGACCACCGCAAGTTATTGCAAACTAACCCCATCATCCGTTTAGGAGTTCACGAGCATGTTGATAGTTTTCCTTCGACAAGAACGTCACATAAAGCTACTTTGATACCAGAATCATCCAGCAAATCTGTTTATCCCACAAGGTTTTGTTAGAGTTTGGGTCCCTACATGCTGATTTTGCCAATCCATTGAAAACCACAGTTTAGTAGGAATTCTCTAGAGTTTCAAACTCGATGATGCGGTATAGAAGAGCTTTAATAGCATGCCTCTTCTGTTGAAACCGATTCCATATGATTTAACTCCAAATACTCCTTCATAAACTCTCGTTACTGTTGATTCGACTACTTGGAAATGTTGGATTCATGAAGTTTCGAAATGAAAGAGACACAATGAAAATTGCTTTGGTTATTTATATTACAGGACTCTGAAAATAATCTTTAATATTCATCTTCAAGATGGATAGACTGAATTCCATGAACAGATAGTCACCTGAAGTGCAAAAAATGATGATATTGAAGGATTTTTGTTGTCATTTTTTTCATCAAAACTTACCCGAAAACAGTATTTAACGCATATGGCACACCTTTTGTATCACAAATACGACCATATCATAAAATTTGCGATAAAAGATCCCCTCCAACCGAAACATCTATTTTACACTTTTTAGTTCGATGTTCTTTAGAAACATGTATTTTAGTTCTTTAAACAATATTTATTTTTCATTTTTTAGTTTTGTATGCTATAAAATCGTGTTTTAAGTCTTTTTAAACGATATTTATTTTATCTAAACTTTGGGATCAATCAGCTGTATATTGTTCAGAAAAATCACCATTGATATTCTCCGATTCCGGAGAGGGAGCCTGAAAATCAGCTACCAAGCCCAAGGCAGCAGGAGCGCAAAGAAGGGTTGCAAATAAGGCAACAGGCGCGAGTGTTAATAAAAAAAATACTTTTTTCAAGAAGAAGTACATGTAAAGTGAGTTCGAATTATATCAAAGAGGTTACGTACAGCGCCATCTGCCCGCGAATAGATCAAGTAATAATGTCGATAATTCTGTCAAATACAGATCCCGAATTCGAAAACAAACATATATACACATGTACATACAGGTGCAGCTAATGAAAGCGTGTTAGTTAAAAAATGGATAATTTTGGGCTATTCTGCTATTCGGATTCCTTTGAATGTTTCATAACAGAAAAAAAAACGACTACAGTGGAACTCATTCAAACTAAGAATGTCCTGCACATGAACTATCTTATATCAAATGTCAAATATTATAGAGAAAATATTCTCCGAAAGTTATTTTTCTGTGTAGGGCTCAATACTTATCACTGCTAGTAGAGAATTTGCTGAAGTGTAATAAAGGACAAATGGTAAAGTTCGCCCCCAAAAGTTACTGCGTAATATTAACCACCGAAGAGTCCAATCAATTAGCAACTGATTGGACTCTTCGGTGGTTAATATATTTTGCCTACAAATTGAAAGAATCAATAAAAAAATCGGATATTCGTACTTAGCTTTCTTGCATGGTCGACGTTTCGGACAATCTTTTTCCGTTTTCATAACCTAAAATTCACTTTAAATCTTTCGCCTCAAATTATGATAGCTCTTATTCTTTTGACATACGTCAAATATACGTATATAAGATCAGAAATCAATATAAAGCTATCATAAGAAAACTTATGTATTTATAATGAGGGTACGCTAACATAAACAAAAACATCACAAAGATCATGTGGCAGAAACAGTGTTGACCAGTGTTATTTCACAATATTCTCCAATGACACAAAGTCACCTGTAAAGTAGTACAATAAAATATTCGAAATACATTTGTTACCTGCTGTTAAAAGAATATATGCGGATTCTTTGAGTTTTCTCATTTTTTATGAGTTTTTTTGGTGATAATTTTTGTTTCATTCCATTATACATATAACGTGCTCATCAATCGCGTGTTCTCCAATCGAGGACCGCCTGCCCGGTACTAACGTTGCCCAATAGGCTGAAACAACTGTCTACCGGTGGCTCTCGAATTGAAATCAATATG